TCCTTCTTGTGCTTCGATCTGAGTCCCCAAGTTTGGGAAAGATGGCTAAAATCCAAAGGTTTTCAGCCCCAGTTGAAGCACATACTTTCTGAGCATCAAAACAGAGTTTGAGAGTCCCTGCCCCATTTTCCTGCCCCCTGCTTGCTTTCCTGGTGGAGCTGTGATGGAGGCCACTCCTAGGCTGCTAGGAGAGCCTGGCTCAAGTGGCTTCCCCCAGGAAGGAGCACCTCTTAGCCTTAGCCTTAGGATCCTAATTCACACACAAGACTTACCATCGTAGGGCTCGACCCAGAATCTTTTGCTACCAAGAAGGAGGGGGCACCAGAAAACCACAGTGGAGACCCTGCCCTGGTCCCCTCTAGATCCCCTGCCTGCTAGCCCACAGCCGGCCTCTCCCTGCTGTGAGGACTTTAAGAAGCTGCCTAGTCCTGCCCTTTCCCACCCCATCCACACCCCCTGTCTCAAACGCACTGACATTGAGTCAATCCCAACTCCTAGTGACCCTACAGAACAGGGTAGAACTGCTCCTGGGGCTGTAACTCTCCATGGTGTAGAAACCCAGGTCTTTTTCCTGCAGAGTGGCTGGTGGTTTTGAACTTCTGACCTTGTGGTTAGTCCACCATGTAACCAACGACACCACCTGCGCTCACTTTAGGCACAGATGATTTGGCTGTCTCAGCACTGAAGTGCTCGGGCTGGCCCTTCCTGCCAGCCTCTCCCCGAAGTGACCCGTGTGACCCTGGAAGCACACAGAGTTTGTGGGTTTGCTGCCAGCCCTGCCGACTTCCCACTACCTGTTGTCCTGTCCTGGGCCCTTGGGTCTCCAGGGGGTGCATAGTTTCCAGCAGCTGCCCCTCTTTTGCCCTTTCAGGGAGAGTCCTGACTGTGCCTAGGGGCCTTCCCCCTCGGCAAACCTCAAGACGGGCCTGTGGGCAAGAAACAACTGTTGCTCTGATAAAGGAGGTGCTTGGTTCACTTTTCAAATCGCTAGCGCTGGCAGTTCACCAGCTGTCTCTTCCAGGCCAGCCCTCTGGGCAGGTGGATGAGCAGGGCCAGCCTGCTACAGCATCATGCACTGGGCACCCTCGGTAATCCAGTTCTAGAATTATATCTGTGTGTGTTCTTCCTCGTCAGCAGGATTTTTTAGGTGAATAAACATCGCACTCTGTCCAAGTAGCACGTACATCATATATGCACATGATAAAACAGTCGAAAAGATACTGGGGTCGGGCGGCTTCAAAAACTGTGTGGATTCTTAAAGGTCAGCTAACTATTTACAGGCGCTTTTTTTGGTCATTGATTTTTTTGTTGTTGTTTCGTTTTCTTTTGTTATTTTGTTTTGCTGTCTTGTTTTTTGTGCAGGTCTATCTAGATAAGTAGGCGGGAAGAACAATCCGGAGGAGAAAACAACAGGCCCGACGGTCCCGGGGGACATTGGAGAGAGGGAGGTGGGGGAAAGGGAGTGGGTGTTAACCAACCCAGGGACAAGGGAACAACAAGTGTCCCAAAATCAGTGGCGAGGAGGGTGTAGGAGGCCTAGTAGGACTTGATCAAGGGCAACGTAACCGAGAGGAATTACTGAAACCCAAATGAAGGCTGAGCATGATAGTGGGACAAGAGGAAAGTAAA